CGCACCTGGTTTTTCATGGTGCGGGTTTAACGGCTGAGATTGTAGTAAAAAAGTCACTTGAGAGGAAGTTCCAAATTCACATTCTGCGGATTATTGACTTCGAGGAAAATTCACAAGTTAGGTAAGTACATGGTAATTCTATTTTCATGTTTTAAGTTTCAAAATTTAAAATTCAGGTATTAATTAATTAAATATATTTTATTAATTAAATATATTAAGGTTACAATTATACAATTAATAATCACATATGCATATTTACGAATCACAACTTATTTATTGATCACATATTATTAAATTAATTGGTCACGTATTATTTCATAGTCATAAACTTACAGTCAAAATTTTGATAAGTCATAATTTATTTTATTGATCACAAATCAAAAAAAAAATTAGATCACAATTTATTTGTTGGTCACTATTTTTAAATTAGTTGGTCACAAATTATTTTTCAGTTACAAATTATCAAATTTTAGATTAAACTTAAATAATTAGTCACAAATAATCAAATAATTGATCACAAACGTACACCAAATAGTTGGTCACGTATCACCACCATCACGACCAATCGCGACCACCACCAACACAGCCTAATAGCGCCACCATGACCAACATAACCCCATCTACGACCACCACCACACAGATTGTCTGTCACCTAAAATCACAAAACCATCACCACACTGACCCACCATAATAACTGTGAAAAACACTACCACGACAACCATCAGCCACACAAACAACCATAGATATCAAATTCAAGAATAAAAAAGGAAAGGAAATAACAGATTGAACGCCACACCAGATTGGGACAACGATTGGCGTGCAACCACGATTGCACCAAATCATGATAACGCGTCTTGCCGTTGCTTCGAGTGCAATGTCACCTGCCACCAAATCTCGCCATACTTAAGAAGCAGCAACAATGACGATGGCAGCAATCTATGGATGAGGAGATCTATGAACCGACAGTGGCAGGCGCTCTGTGGATAGTCAACATTGGGACGATGTTGAGCAAATATAGTCTGGTTTGTATTGATTGCTAGTGTGGAGGGTGGCGATGATGGTTTTGAGACGATTTTTGGGGTTGTTTTGGGTGATCTCTTCTTCCTATGATTTGTTTAGCCAGATTTTGAGTTGGTCGTTGGTTGTTTGTTGGTGGTGGTGGTGGTGCAAGTGGTGATAACGTGACGGTGGTAGCAGCGATTGTAAATTTGAATAAAGAGATAGATAAAATAGAGGGAAAGGTGGCGAGAGAAAAGGGGGTGAGAGGAATTTGAATAATGTCAGGGTTTGGGGGTGTGGGTTGGAAAAGGGCTGGAGTTAGGTAAATTAATTTAATTTTATATTATTATTTTTAATGTTTATAAATTGAATTATTACCTAATTTTTGATTAAATAAATTCCACGCCTAATTATTTGGATTGAAAAACTTAAATACTTATTTATATGTAATTTCCTTTGACTTCAAGGAACAATACATAACTCTTATATATAAGAATTACATTTCAAAATTATCAAACTTGTCAAATTATTTCAAAATTTAGGTGTTAATTCAAATTAATAATATATATTTAATTGAAATTGATTATCTCCACCGCACCCACCCAACAACCAAATTAAGAATATATCAATCAATGATATCCTACGATCCACCACCCCATGGAACCTACCCCTAGGCAACCCAGAAAATATCCACCTAGCACATCAACAAAAGTGTCTTGTCTGATACTCAATGCTAACTAATTTATTTATGTTTTCGCCCTTTTGGAGCCTCACCACACTACCCCATCCATATGCAAAAATCTCCAATTTTAAGAAACTCTTTAGAAAAGATTGAAGCCTGCAAAAATTCAAAACATTTTCTCTATCGACAAAAGTTTTCTCTTTCTATATATACATTTACAAACATAAATTGAAACACACAATTTAGGTAACTTTGTAGGGAAGATTAAAGCCTCCAGAAATTCAAAATGCTCTCTCTCTCTCTCTTTCTCTCTCTCCATATACATTTAAAAACACAGATAAAAATCCACAATTTTAGGGAACTATTTAGGTAAGATTGAAGCCTCCATAAATTCAAAACGCTTTCTCTCTCGCCCCCCAGGGCACATCCGAGTTGGTGGAACAATCACTTCGCTGGGACGCTAGAAGCAAGCGTGGGGAGTTCGATTCCTGGAGTTAACACTGGGAGCCATATGGAGAGGAAGCCATTGGTGTGAACAAACGCCCAGTGAGGAGAGCTCTCTTTGCGGAAGGAGTCCAAATAAGTTGTGGGAACCTGGGAGCCAACAAGGGCACATCCTGCGATTTACCTCCCTGAGCTGCTGAGGGGCCGGAGGTTCAGGGACAAGGATCTAGTCGGACGCAAGCCCGGACACCTTGTAAAAAAAAAAAAAAAAAAACGCTTTCTCTCTCTCTCTCTCTCTCTAAAAAATGTCTCTCTATTTGCAAGTGATGGTGATTGCTGGGTGGCAACTGTGTTTAAGAAATAGATCTGCGTGGTAGCTATGATGGTGTGTTACAGGTGATGATAGTACATTGGAATTGATCTGTGCGGTAGTGGTGGTGAGGTGGTAGCAACGTTTTGAGTATTGCGTGCTGAATGTGACCAAATTTATCTTCATTGTAACTGTCTGTGACCAAATTAATTGTAACTATGACGATATGTGACCAAGTCACTATTAAGTTGGTTACAATCACAACTGGTTATAATTATCACAAATTTGATCACAATCGATCACAGTTAATACAAATTTGATTACAGATGATCATCACAAATAAATTCGCACACACTGCAGACTAGCACCACAACATATATAGTTACAGTCGATCACAGTTAACACAAAATTGGTTACAACTAATACAATCTTGATCACAGAAGGTCACGACAGAAAAAACCTACACACACTACAGACTAGCACCGCAACACATACAATTACAATCAATCACAATTAACACAAGTTTGGTCACACCTAGTCACAATTAACGCAGATTTGGTCACAAAAGGTCACTACGAATAAATTTACACACACTGCACACCAACATCATAGCTTATCATCACCGTAACCTAAAATAGTAAGCCATACATTTTTTTTTGTGATGATTAGAATAATCTTTATAAATTACAACCCTTTTTTGTAATAAAAAAGATGCCCGTAGAAATCCAAAAACATTCCAGCAAGGAAAGCCCTCTTTCCACTAGCAGAAATTCAGACATTCACAACAACACTTGATAAAGCCAATTTCCTTGGCATTGCTCCGAAAATGCTGTTTGCAGCACGTGAGCACATACTTCCTAATTATTCCCCATTTCACTCTCAGATAACCCAAAAACACAAAAATAATATTAACTACATTTCCCTATTTCTGCTTTCAATCTATCAAACCCAAAAATTACTCAAAGCTCCTATAAATCATTTTTTAAGTAAGATACAAAAAGTCAACATAATTTCATTAAAACAAACCTATCAATAACCAAAAAGGAAAAAAAAACAGTAGCCATTTTAACATATTGACAACATTCAATTAAAAATTAATTTGGTAACATTCAAAAACCTAATTAATTTTTTTAAGGAAAACAGAAAATTTATATATGAATATACAATAACAGGAACACAAAATTTCTCTATTAGTGATATTGCACCTGTATGGCTTTCTCGATGAAACTAGGTAAAAGTCCACTGATTGGATGGAATCGGCCTAGGTTTGGGAGATTTCATTGGAGGTACGGGTGGGCTCATAAGCTCCGGAGCTGAAGCATATGAAGGTGAAGTGTGCCTCTTGCTGTGAGATGGAGCCTTATCCGGAGTCTCGCTCTGGCGCGCAAAAGTCGGATCTAGTAGTGTTGATGTCTCGTGAACTAGAGATGGTAGATACTGGACTAGAGCAGTCGGGAGTGGTAAGATGACTAGCTCAGATGCTAGAGGCGAGCTAACTAGAGCCGACATTGAAACAATCTTCGACAACGGTAGAGAAAGGAAGAGAGACGAGAGAAGGTAGATGAGAGAGAAAATTGGAAAATGAAACGAGTGGGTGAGTTGTTAAAAGGAATATTGTATTTAAAACGGTTTTTATATTAATTTTGTAGTAATTAATTTAATAATTTTTAATTAACACTTGATATGCGAAATTTAAACTTAATCTCCTTATTTAAGAAAACTAGTCCTTAGTTGTAGGTTTGTAGGTAATTTTTCCTTAACTTCATGAATAAGGCCCAACATAATAAACGTGGACATTACAGTAGGGAGTGTGAGGCTCATTTATGGCCCAAAATACTCGTAAACCAGTCGCGTATAGGGACGTACACTGTAGGACTCAACTTAGGACAAAATTTTAACCACATCAATTCAATTCATTCCACCTTATCAAATAAACCATTAACATGCATTGTCGTTTCAGTGCAAGAATAACGGTAAGAAGGATGAACATATGAAGGTCCTACATCTCATACCTGGGGACGTAATATATTTGTTAATAATAAGAAGTTGGGAAAATAGAAAAGCATAAGCTAAAGAAAATGGTTAGCTAAAATCACCTTGGTTCTTCGACTTCCTCCGACCAAACACCCTGTATGATCCTTCACCGGGTTTCTTAATATTGTAAAACAGTAGATAATATTAAGGATCATTTGATTTTGTCTATAATTTTCATATTTACTCTAAAAGAGTATATTTTATTAAGACCCTATTTGGTGTATATCAAAATCAAATTTTTAGCAGACTTGATAAAAATTGATAAAATATGTTGTTGAAAAGGTGTAGATCTCATGAAACGAATAATAAAATTAATTGTTAAGTTTAGCTTGAGATTAATCGAATTTTGGAGGCTAGAATTGTTACTCATGTTAAACCTTATATATGAGGATCATCGTTGTAATGATTTATGTGCTTTAGTTTTGACTCTCTCTATTATACTCTCCCAATCCTTCTTTTTTATTCTCCAGTTTTCTAACACAGAAAAATGACACAGATAGATAGAGAAAGGGAGGAGATTTTGTTAAAATGTATGTCAAGTTCAACTTTATTGAATGATACTCAACAAATTAATAGAACTTAACAACTGAATTTTTCAACCTCATCATCTCAATCTTAGGAAATTTCTTTCTTCCCTTCCTCTCCTATCATCTGCTGCTGTGATCACACCGGACATAAATACTCAAAACTAAAATGAGATACACACATTCTGAGGACAAAGAAACAAAATACTTCTAGTAATAAGTCTCAAGTTATGCAGTAGCCTGCCAATCCTTCTTGATCTCAAATGTATAATTCATCTCCAAGTAGCACCGGTTGTCATCATCAAGAAACTGCACAGACAAGATGGAAAATCTTTATAAGAGTGATGAAATCATGTATCGTCTAGGAGAGAAACTTCAGTGGGGCAGTTGCACCGCTACGGTGCGCTACCTCGACAGGTGGCACCTCGTCTTTGGGCAAGCGCACCACGTGGATGGTGCGCCCGCCCCACTGAAGATTTAGTCATCGTCCAGTCTTGAAAATGCAAAAGAATATGGAGGTCTTTAATCCTTTTGACTAGCAAATTCAGGTTCTAAACTCATTTTCCAAAGAGACTGCTCAACGACCACAGCAGTTCTAACCTGTTATAGCGAGATCGAGCTCTTCTATATAAAGAAATTAACTTTTCTGGAACTAATTATCCAACTACAAATAGTTGCATGCTACTTAAGCTTCTAATATGAAACATTGACAGGCAATTTGTCATAAAGTAATAAAGATAATAAGAGAACATAACAGTGTGTTTCTAGCATTAATCTGTAGCCAAGTTTTGAGTTAAAGCGATGAGAATTCAACGGGTGTAACAAGAGATGATCAATGGTGGAATTCACCTGTGTTTTAGCTGAATATGATCCTCTAGCGAAAATGCCAGATGGTGTCGTCTCCTCCGGCATCTCATGTGTATAAGGTTCTGATTGAGGGCTGAAGGTTCCAATCATTTCTTTTGTGCTGTCAACTAAAACAGCATTTGTGAAAGGGTAAATTTCAATCAAAAACTTCAACAATTCCATCAATGTACAATAAGAAACACAGAATATGAGGAAAGAGAACCTCTGATGCCAGTTTTCCAAACAGTGTTCCTGTACTTGAGGCCTGAAACAATATTGTTGCTGACCTGGAATGTAAATTTAAGGCTGTAACGACTTCCCTCTTTCAAAGTAAACCACGGGCCTTTCGGGTTTCCAGTCTCAGGGATTATAAGAAAAATATCGTTTCTACCCTGGGATTTAATTGCTAAGCTCAAGATTTTGACTTCTGGATCCAGAGTTTCTACAATATGACAGTGATAACAAAAGAAGGTCAATGACCACAACAAAACACATGACCCATTGTGCAATTTGACTTATATTGATAGAGTGTACATTTGGTGTGATTGACCTACCCTCTAGCTCACCGGTGAGATTGATCTTCCGTCCTTCGCATAATAAATAAGACCAAATCCATTCAATTTCTTAAAAAGATTACTAATCCTTAACTTTTCAAGGAATATTTCGAAAGACTATTCAATTTTTTTGTCCTTGATCCATCAGAGCAAGTCAGAAAGATAGAGAAATAGAAACATCTAATGTGATTCATTTAGATTGAGCGTCATGGCATACTCTGAATCCTAGGATGATTTTCATGTAGCATACCAGCTAAAGAAAAGGTTAGATCCTAGGAAAAATGTTGAAGCTCGTTCTTTAGGTTCCATAATTTCAAGTCGATTTTCCTCCTACCAAATGTACATTCTTTCATCCATACAGATGTAACAAAATCCATGGACATTTGATGAATTTTCCTGTGCAAGCTTTAACAGGCAATATATAAAATAAGAAAAAACAAGTTTTAGAAAGAAAAAGAATTACCTCCAACAGAATTCACATCAACACTCCCCAGAAGTTGTTCTTTCCACCTCTTCAAACTTTCATCATCCTAAATTCTCAAAACATTATTATTATACAATGAAATGGAAATTAGGAAACATAAATAAAGGAGAAACACAAACCTTATCCTTCTCAGACAGTTCTTTGAGAGTGCATTGAGGACCCAACTGGATTTTAGACTCAGCATCTTCATCTTCTTCATCCTCAGTTGTGTACAGAGAACCGTCACTCATTTGCCTGCTAACCCTCCCAGAAGTATCAGGCTCAATTTCAGAGTCAGCATGATCTGGACCTGTTGGGTTCCCTTCTTTACCCTCCTCCTTATTTTCGTCCAATCCCATGGCTCCAACAGCCAAAGACATCAACAATCACAATCAAGGTTTTGGTTCAACAATGGAAGATTTCATAAATTGAATCCACCCACCCACTCACCCACAAAGAAGAAAAGAGCAGAGAGATGAAAGCAAACATAAAACGAAAAGAATCTGCTTTTATATAGAATAGTAAAGAAATAAAATTGAAGATAATAAAAAATTATTACAGTAAGTAAAATAAAGAATTCAAGAAAGGATAAACAAGCCTTACAAAGGATAAGGCTTCCAAGAACCAAAGAGAAAAGGACACCAAGAAAAAATAATAATACTACAAGAAAGAGAGAGAAAGCGAGAGAATTTTTGAACTGAAGGAATTGGTCATGTGGTTGTGAATAAATGATTCACCAACAAAGAAATGGTGAGTAGGGGTTGGAGTGGAGTGGCGAGATCGTGAAGGTCATTTTGCTTTTTCATTTTCTTCTTAAGGATAAAAAATAAAAATAAAAAACCCACGATTCAAGGGGACTCCAACACACAGACAGCAAGCCTAAGATTGGATGGACGAGAGGTCCTCTGTAATTTGACATATTCTTATCGGTCAATGATTGAATTGGATTGGATTGGACGAGGGGTACATGCACCCAATTTCAGCTAATTATAACCCCCACTTGTACTTCCCTTTGCTTTGCTTTCATTAAGGATCACGTGGCTATCATAAAGATTTAAAGGACGGGACAGACAGGTGGCTTTACTATGTCTTATAAGTAACGGTTGTCCTAACTTGATGTCAATTCTACATTTTATTGGTCTAAAATATTTGCCTCAAAAGAGGGGGGTTCTTGTTGTTTGATTACTTTATCGAATCAATCTACAGATATTCTCATAATTATCTTCAAAAAGAATAATTAAATATGTAAAAACTCGTAACATAATTTATCGAGCCTTCTAAAAGATAGACGTTGACTGAGAAATAGTAGATTAATTGGCCCCGACGAATTATTTCAATTCTATTCGAACATCAAATAGATTCGACTCGAGCTTTCTAACTGAGACATATGATTGGACTGTTAATAATGAGGCATGATTTGAATATTCTTCATGTTATCAGAGAAAATGGTGAGATGTCACTAACCATCATTTCACAGTGTAGTCACACAAAGCATTTTTCAACTTATTTTTCCTTCTTGTATTATGCCCCTCTTTGATCTTCCATTAAATTAAAATTCATTTTTCTCTCTTTGTATCAACTACACATTTTTCAATAAAATAATATTACACGTAAATTTAAAAAAAAATTCTTTTTTCAATAAAATAATATTACACGTAAATCTAAAAAAAATTCTTTCTTTTTAACCATAGATTCTTCAAAAATTACTATTTCTTTCATTATAATTTGAAAAAATGGAGCCCAAACAAGGGCTATATCATCCAACCCATCTGGTCAAACATGTCGTAGACGTACAAGCCATTGCTCGCACCAAAAGGACATATTATATACAAGGGCGGAGCTAGAAAAAAAATAAATGTGGGTGCAAATTTCATAAAATTTTAATTGTGGGGTCAAAATTTGAAAATTATAAGGACATTTTTGAAAATTTAGACAAAACCTTGAGCAAGATGATATATTTGAAATTTATTGTGGGGCAATGGATCCGCCCTTGATTATATAAACCATGTGCATACAAGAGGTAAATATGAAGGGCAATATTTTGTGCTAAATCATATGAGAACACCAAACGCCCTCAACTAATTGAAGATCTTCCACAAAGTAAGCTCAGCTAGCATTTATAAATATGAAGTCAGGATGCTCACTACACTGTACCAAAATCGATATGCAACAATGTTTCTATGTTTAGATGGTAAAAATTTCACCTAGAACTAAGTCAGTCACTCGCTTCCCCATTTCCCCACAACTCGCTCTTTGGCTGAAACACCGGCAGTCACTTCCTGCTGAGGAATAGTGGGAACATCGGTATGATAACGACCATATACCCTATTCGTTATCTTTGACGTCAGAAAGGTGAACCCTGTCCGCGTTCCCCGCAAAGCAAACAACAAAGGATTGAAAATGACGGCGAGTAATACATCCCCTTTTGCAACTATCAGATACTGTAGATGAACAGATAAATGAAGGAATAAGATTCCAAAAGGGGCAACAAGGAAAAATATCCAAATAAAAGTCACAGAAGAAGAGCTAGCACAAGTACTTACCATGGCCAGGATACCCAAAATTGTAAGACTTGCTTGCTGTGCTTCCTGCCAGAAATGATCACCATTGGATCCACCAAATCGTCCTCCCCATCCAAACCAACCACCTCCTCCTGAATTACCTCCTCCACCTGCTTCTTCTCTATTTTTAATTTCCTTGTCCCACTTCTCAAACTCCACTTTCTTTCCACCTAGGGCACTTTCTAAAGCTTTTCTAGCCTGTTCCTGTGATTAGAAATCTCACGAGGTAAATTAACAAGACAAAAGAAAAGTATGAAAAACATAACAAATCACCATACAAGTCCTCCAGAATTTTTAAATACTTTCAAACCATATGTCTTATTCTTCTATTTGATGTACCCGAATTCCTTCTCTCTAAAAATAATCCTCAGTACAAAATTGCTGATTTTAGCGGTCAAAGCAGGATAGTTTTGCATAGGAACATCTTATACAAGTAGATTAATTTTTAGAAAATATCCGTTCATACAAATTAGCTCCAACATAAAGAAGATTCATTGACAGGTATTGAAAATTTTCTCAGATCTGCTTCTGATGAGGCTTAGCTTGATGCCAAGCTGGAGTTGTGCCTATAGTGAATCCGCCAACATTGAGATAGGAACTTAAAAGTACTCAGTGCCGAGAAATAGAAGATAGCAGTGAATAGATATGTGTCAGCAACAGAATATATATAGATGCATAAAGGAACTCACTTGAGTAAAAGCTGAAACAACAGATGAAAGCTGAAGTTTGATCAACAAAATCTTTTTAGATGTACAAATACAAGAGCTTAAAGCCATACTAAAGACAATTTTAAGGTACTAAAAAATTATAATTTGTGAAAGATGAAAGAGTTAAAAAGTGTGAACATACAAACTAACAGGTTAACTAAAAGTATAAAAACTTGAAAGAGCAATAATCAGATAGTAAACAATATTTAGTCATTAAGTTTCAGATATAATCAGAAGATATCCTCACGGATGGCATTGATGCAATTGTAGAAGTTAGCTTCACACATTTTTCCCAGATTCAAACTTGCAACTTAATGCGATACACCTCTTCATCTTTTCGACTTCTGTTAAGCAACAGCATCTTTGCAACCATATATGGCAATTGAGACCAAGTTTTTCCAACTAAACACAATTCATGAATAAACAACTTTCTAAACATCATGTTTTAGATTCCTGAAGAAGGCCAACTTTCTCTTAGAATTTATCCTCTGATCTCTTATGCAGAAAATAAATTCTAATATAGTAGACACTAGGGCTCAATCTCCTATTGAGGAAGAGTACGCCACGAGTACAAAAAAGGTTATACAAACTATTGTGACATGTATATTGAAACTTGCAAGTACCAGTAAATTAAGAAAGAAAAAATGTGCAATTGACATGCAGGCTACACAAAAGTTTCTATATTTATTTGTAGCAGCTTCATTAACCTTGAATAAAATTTGGGGCATCTGTTGAAGCCAATTCAAATAGGCGAGATTTCCAAATTTTCATTACAAACATTTCCCTGTAAAAATCTCCCAAACCATTCAAAATTCTCATCGTCCAAAATTACATCTCTCTTCCCCCTAACACAATTAGATAATCACCACTAGAAACTTCAATATAAAAAGTGATCAGAAATTAACCATAAAAACCGCGTTTACATATCAGTATTTCCTTCTTCCCACTCAAATTTCGTGTTCACCCCTATTTTCAAGTGATCCAGAAGGACCAGAACGGCAAATAATCGTCGAAAAGAAAAAAGAAAAATATCAAAAATGCAATTTAGCAAAATTAAGTAAAGTGTAGGAGAAGATTTGAGCTAAAGACCTTTTTGCCATTGTCAGAGAATAGACAAGAAAACCTTCCTCTGCACTTGAGACTGTGTTGGAGAGAAGTCCAGCTGCGAGTTGGCTGAGTCGGGCCGGTAAGTTTAAACGGAGTTGAAACGGGTTGGTGGCTTGGGATTTGAGTTGTGGAAGGGATTGGCGGGCGCGGGCGGAGGCTTAGAACCTGCGCCATGGTTCTCTGCACCGGGACTTCTGCTCCTGCTATATATACCTAGGTAAAATGAAGTCAATCCCCAAATCCTCACACCCAACTTTGCTACAACCAATACCAAGTTTCTTTGTTATTCATTTCTACGATGGTTAATTTTGTTGGAGATCACTAAACTATTCTGGCAATTCAATTAAGTCATTGAGCTTCAATTTACACGGATAACTTAATGTCAATTCAATTTAATAATTAGGCCTCGTTTGTCTATGATTGAAGTAAATTTCTTTTTCTTTTTTTTTTAATTTAATTTATTTCAAAAATTCTCTATAAAATATTTTCCATAAATCAAAAATTTTTCCCTACTCTTTAATCATACATTTTCAAAAAATCCATGATTCTAAAACTCATTTTCTATTTTAGCCCTTGTTTGACACACATTATAATGAAAAATTTTGGTAAAATGTATTGTGAAATAGTATTTTTGGTAAAATGTATGGTTAAAAAATAAGAGTTTTTTATATTCACATGTAATATTATTTTAATAAAGAATATGTGATTGAAAAAAAAGAGAGAAAAATATATATTAAAAATTAAAATGGTGTCAAACAAGGGCTTAATAGTAGACGAACAATGGATAAACCACTTCATTGGTAAGACAACTTAACAAAGTTTGCAAAGATTGCAATTAAAATTGATGTACGCATACACAAAAATCTATGTGCACTTAGCTAATTAAGCCCCCGTCTGATTTTGATTTTTCAAATCAGAATAATATTTTTTGATCGTTACTTACCAATTATCATAGTCAGCCATCATTTTTTACTTTTTTCACTCATAGGTGAGGACCCATATTTCAGGCTAACAATCAAAAAATCAATTCTCATAATCAGCACCAAACAGACCCTAAGTCCAAAATAGGAATTAGACTTGATATTATTAGAGACGTGCAGAAAAATATCATATCTGTAATGCAAAAACATGAAAAAGGAGGGGGGAGATGATCTTTTTAATAGTTTGGGGAACGAGTTTTTGCTAAATAAATGACTCACGTTCCTTTAGATTCTTTGAATTTTGTGTGCAAACATTCGTTTGCACTGAGCTTTGGACCAAGGGATTATCATTAATAATTTTTTTGAAAAAGCTTTGGACTTTCAGGAAAAAAGCGAAAGTGGAAATTACGGAAACTACCACATTTAAAGATCTCATTTTCGTAAATCATATGTTATGTTTAATATTTCAAAAATCAGATATTTTTGTTAACTAATTCATATATTTAAAATTTAATTGATTAATATATAATTCCCTCTTTCTTTTCCCTCACTTCTATTTCTCTCTATATTCTCATATCTCTTTCTCTATCGGAAAGGACTCATCGGAGTGAAGCCGTGCAAAGTAGCCTGACAACACCACCGCCATCATAGGTCTCTTCATGGCCAAGTTGCATGATGCCTCGTTTTTTCTCCTCATTTTGTTTTGACGAACACCGCATGTAGACCACCGCCCCTCGTCCTACTCAGACGAACACCTCCTTGTCGTGTGTCGTGCCCAACTTGTTATCTCTTCATGACCAAGTCGCGTATGAGATCTATCGATGCAAGCCATCACTATGTGAAGTAGATTTGTATGATCTGGCCGTGGTTTTTGTTATTGTTGGGGAATGTGATGAGACTGTGGTTGTTGTTGTTGTGCTTAGTGTTGTACAGCAACGGTGGTGATGATGGTGAGATGGTAGTGGAGACGGGACTAGTGAGGTAGTGGTAGATTTGGTGCGCGATGTGGTATATTTTGATTTGTTTGAAGTGGTGATGGTTGTTTTGGCAAAGGCGATTTCAACGACAATATGACTCGTGACGGTGGTGAGGTGGTAGTCTGTTGGTGATGGTCACAAATGATATGATTGTTTGTGACGAAGAAATTGATTAATGTGTGACCAATAAATAATATGTGTCCAATGAAAAAAAAAATTGTGATCAAGAAATAATGTGTGGCATTAAAAATTGTTAATTTGTGATCGATAATAAGTTGCGACTTATAATATTTTGTGATTGTAATTGATAAATAAACTATGACTTATAAATTTTTGATTTGTCATCAATGAACAAATTGTGTTCGAAATTTTTTTGAATTGAGGTCATAAAATAATTTGTGACATAAATTTTTCTTGATTTTTGACAAAAAAAATAATATGTAACTAATTAAATTGTTAAACAAGTTTCTGTTGGAAAATAAGAGATTGAAGAAGAAACAACAACAACAAAATTATAGAAACAAAATGAATAGAAATCACGTAATACGTCAAGAACGAATTTGAGACCTAAACACGAGATCGTTGTCATCAAACTATGTTTACCCCCTCTCGAGATTGAATGAGATGCTTAAGGGTTTTGGCAAACGGTTAGTAGAATTATATCAATCCTTGTAAAGGATTTAACACCAAAGTACAAGTGCAATCCTCCAAAACTTTAAGAACACAAAGGAAGATCTTGAATATGAATGTAAATCAATAGTTTGATTCAATATGGAATGATATATGAATCTCAAGATATTTTCAATTATTCTAATTATGTTTGTATTGATCATTCATCACCTATTTATAGATCTTAATCAATGCATCACGAAATGGTGCCAAAACAAGATGAAAAGTAGCAACTTTTAATCCGAAACGGCTCTTAAGTTTCAAATTGAAAAATCAGCCAATGACTATTTTTTAACACTATGCGTACATATAGTATAAATCGTGCGTACGCATAGTAGAAGCAAAATTTAATTCTGATTTTGCCAAAATACATCTCGCGTACGCACAAAATTAAGCTTGTGCGTACGCATAGGCAAAAAATCAATTTTTTTATTTTTCAATTTCTTTTCATTCTACCAATTTCATAATTGAGCCCAACAATAAGTCAATTATCATTCCATTGATTTGAACAAATATTCAACAGTTTTTGCCTTATACAGCTCGGGCCGAAGACCTGGGGAAGTTTATGAGAGATAGGGAAAGCTGGCAGCTGCCGATTTGTGGCCAAATTGTATGATTTTGTGACCTTAATCTATTGATTAATAAAATATATAATTAATTAATTAAATCATAAATAAATTTTAATAAATTTTTAATTCTTGAAATTTAAAAATGTTGTTTTTAGTTTCAAAATAGGTAATACTTAATCTATTAATTATGATTTTTTTCCAAAAATGAATATGTAGATAAGTAACTTTTAAATCTTAATGTAGCCATTAAGTCTAGTCTTGAAAATTTCGAAATCCAAACCCTAGCTTAAATTGTAATCCCAATTTCCTAAGTGAATTTACGTAAATCAACTCGATTGGCTTCGATTTTGGGTTAGGCCAAAAGATTGGCCCAACTTGAATCTTGCATCTATACCCACCCCTATCGACAACTTTATCTGACAAATTTCATCCACACTAGAATAATATTTGGGAAAAATACACAATTCATGTATTAACTATGCACAATTCAAAAACTAAGTGTTAAGTTTAATTATGCAAAAATCAGGTTTTTATCTACTTAATTAAAAATATTTATTGAATAAATATAATAAAATAACAATTATATAATTAATAGTCACAGATTCGTAATTACAGGTTTCAAATTATCATTCTATTGATTTGAACAAATAAGTCCATTCATTCCATAATTGAGCCCTACAATAAGTCCATTATCATTCCATTGATTTGAACAAATATTCAACAATCCCCCACTTGTTCAAAATCAATACGATCACATATTCAAAAAGACGATACTTATGCATAAGGATTAGATATCTTTCGATTTGAATTTAACCATAGTGTAATTCAAACAAAGTAAAATCGAAATTAGAGGCAGTATAGAAGCTTTGAACCAATTATTCCTAGCGACAATATCGGTAAGAACACACACATAAGTATCACGTGTTCTCAAATTCCTTAACTCGCTTAGAACACAAATATAAGTATCATGTGTTCTCAAGTTTCTTAACTCGCTTAGCGCTTTTATGGCCTTGCGCTCATCCTATTCGACAAACTTTTAAGAGAGGAACTCCAACTCTCTATTGAAGCGGCACCACCTCGAAGTTAGTCTAGGTGAAGTTATTCCAGTACTTTTGTTACTTTTAGAGGTACTTGTGTTTTAACACCGAACTTCATTAAGAGCTTTAAGCTCAACCCTTACTTCAGTAACAACCAGCATTATTTAATTAGGATAGGATCATTGCGGATTTAAATAATGCTGCAACTATCCACATATCGAATGTCTTGTTACCCTTTGAACTCGTGGATTACCTTTTGAGTAATGACATGTAGGTTGCCGTCATTGGTGGCCCTTTTTAATTAAGGAGTTTCAACCCATCCTACTCGAAGTAGATGCCACTAAATCTCTATTTAGTGCTTTAGGTAAAGGATCCGCTAAATTCTCAATTGACCTTACATAATTTAGGTAAATTATTCCATCTTTGATTAATTTCCTTATCTAGTCATGTCTCAAACTCATATGTCTAGACTTTCCATTGTATACCTCGTTATATGTCTTTGCTAACATGGCTTGACTATCACACATGATAGGTATTGAAGATATATTCTTCGATCCCGAAGATATCTTATATAAGAGATCCTTAAGTCACTCAGCCTCTTTCCCGGTACCCGATAAAGCTACAAATTCAGATTTCAAGGTCGAGTGTGTTATACATGTTTTTTTATTTTATTTCCAAGAAACAGCACCTCCTCCAAGAGTGAATACCCAACCCGAAGTGGATCTACTTTTCCAACTAGCATCGGTAAATCCTTCCAATATCGCCGAGAATTTAGTATATTGTAGGCCCAAGTTCTTGATTTTCTTTAAGTATCCAAGAACTCTCACAATAGCCTTCCAATGATCATTATTCGGATTGCTAGTAAATCTACTAAGTTTACTTATTGCATAAGCTATATCCGGTCTTGTGTATTGAACAGCATACATAAGACTCCCTATAGCACTTGCATATTCCAATTGAGCAATTGCCCTTTCATTATTCTTTATTAGTTTTGAACTTGGATCAATCGGGGTACACATTCCTTTATGTTCAAATATTTGAACTTATTTATCACATTCTCAATATAATGTGATTGACTTAGATAGCAACCCCCACTAGTCTTTGTGACTTTGATACCTA